TAAAACATGTACCCACTATAAGTATTAATAAAAAGCTCGGACCAAAGAGGTCACCTTAATACTGAAAAAAAAAAAAAAAAATTTACACTTTTTCTAATTTTTTTTAACTCTTTCTGTTTCTTAATGATTGGGTCTACATTTAATATTTTTGTTCTTTTTTGAATAATATTTAATTATTTTTTTTTTTTAACTTTTCAATTGTTGTATGTCTATTATAATTACAATTAAAACCTATTTTTATCTAATTGTTTTCATTCTTGAAGCCTTCTTTTATTAATTTGATATGCTTGTTTTCTCTCAGGATTCATTTTATATAATTTATTGGTTTTTTTATTTTTTTTTTTCTAATAGATTGTAGGTAGGTATGTTCACTTTAAAAAACTTGCTTTGATTATATGTTCTGTTTTTTGATGATTACAAACTATCTTTATTTAAGACATTCTATGTTTACAGAAAGTTTGGAAATGCTACGCATAATTTTAGAGGATCTGTTGGGTGCAAGGAAAAAATTTTTATTTGACACATAAAAGTTTTCATATACATGATTCAAATTATCATTTTTTGTAAGATTCTGTAAACAAGTAATTTTAAAATGATAACTACGTATTTTTTAAAACACGTGTTAAGAAAAACCATAGCGAAGATTATTTAAGTTATCTATATAGATAATTATTACGTATATAATTGTTATGTAAAAGTTAACAGTTGTTATGTAGCTATTTAGACGAGTAAAAGAGATTATTGAGTTAATTGAATTATTATATGAAATTGTGTATCAGAAACGGGTAACAAAATATGAAATTCTTAAGCTCTACGTAAAAGGAATACAGTTTCCTCATAGGGATATGTACGTAGGTACATTCCTGCTGCTAAGAACACGAAGGGATATATAAAAAGTTATGGTTATCTTATCATGTTAACATACTACATAAACAAACCAAAAAAAATGTTTAAATATTTATCATATATGTAAATAAGAATTATTTATTAAGGTGTATTGATGGCGTTTGTTATCGAAAGATTTTTCACAAATCCGACATTCTGCAAGTTCATTTTTTTATATAGATAACCAACTTGCAGTTTAATGTGATTTTACTTTTTATGTAACGTTATAATTTGTATTAATAAAGTTAATGATTTAAAAAAAATAAATAAATAAATAAACAAGCAAATCCTGAAGCAGTTTCATCTTGCTTTGATGCCTTTTACTTCAATAAATATATCGCATGCATTATGACTTGAAGTATCTTTATGAAAATCAAAATATTTAACGAGGCAAAATTTTATAAAGTTACCGTTTTTTTTTTTTTTTTTTTTTTGTATATATAATATATATATATATTCTCTTGTATAAATTTTACACTTTTAAAGTTCTACTTTTGGATATTTTTGAAAATGACTAAGGCAGCTATTTTGCCAACAACACATCCGATTCCGCCTACGAAACATCGACGAAATTCTTTTGTCGAAGTTAGTGATTATATTTTACGCACAAGAAGATTTAGAATATTAGGTTCTGCTCTTGGATTATTTCTTTGTTCTTTATGGGTAGTGGCACACTTTAGCGATGCTAGTTTTAATATTCATACTTTACAACGATATAAAAATAATGAGGCTGCTATGGTTGCAGCGAGTGTTATGGGTGATGGTGGTGAAGAAGGTATTCATAGTTTGGAGGTACAAAGTCACAGTCGTTTAAGTGTTTATGGTCACGGTCATAGACACAATGTGTATGAACAATCACATCCATCAAATTCCGGGATAACTAGAGTTTAGAACCGGGTTATAATAAACCGGGTCACCTGTATCAAAACGGTTCAACTGGGACAAAACGTTTGAACAAAAATCTACGTATTTACTATTACACAGAAAACATTATATTTAACATTATTGTATTGTGAAAATAAACACACCTTTTTTCTTCTTACTATTGTCTGGAGCGAAGCGACAGACTTATACTTCTATTCCCTTTGATAACCAAAAATTCGGTTTGATTCATTAATATTAAAAATATCAAAAAGTAGTTTTGACATTTTCTGGATGTAGTGCCACGTTTTTATATAGTAAAATCAAAACTTTACTAAGTAAATCGCTTATATGCTATTAAGTAATGTTGTTCAGGAGACCAAAATACATATGTATATACAAATTGGATAATTTTTTACTACGTATAAATTTATATTTGTAACTGTAAAAAGTAAATATCAAATAAATAAAAAATATTATAATTGCATAAAATTTTCGAGTATATGTATTTTGTTCAACAATTTTACTTAATAGTATATAATCAATTTACTTAGTAAATTTTTGACTTTTATATATAGTACTTATTACTAATTAATTAATTATACTAAAAATAAATTATTCAAAAAATAATTTATTTTTAGAAATATAATACTTATGCTTCAAACTTACACTGGTTTCCAGTTCCTAGTTTATCTAAATATTCGATCCTGCTAATCTGGATTTAAAAAAAGCTACAAACTTTCGGAAGACTATCGGAAATTTTGCTAAAAAAATTTTCCTTTGTGTAAGTCTTCATTATTATGTCTTTGCTTTGCTAATATGTAATACACTGTGTGTTCGACACGTTCGATAGTACCCCAGTAATTTGTAGTGCCGGGGTTCGGGTTATGTAACGTTAATCAAAATCTAATACGTTGTCACGAAAAATGTCGTAATAAATTAAAATACACTTTAATAATTACATAATTACGAAATGACTTTCTTAGTTATATTCTGTAGTTAAAAGTTATGACTACGTTTGCGTAATGATTTCTAGCTCATCTGTGCCTAATAGAAAAGCTATATAAAGGGTCAATAGGGATAGATCTCTTTAGAACTTTGCCAGCAGTTATTCTGTTGTACCCTCGATAGATTTCATTATGCCCTCTGTCGCTCATTACATTAACTTCACCCTCAAAAATTCAATCATTCATAATTCTTGCCGTCACGATTATTCAAGCCATTTTCAACCGGTTCACCCGATTTCATTATACGGGTGACGATGTTTGAATTGGAAATCGATTATCTGGTTCAGTTAATTATATTTGATTTCTGTGAGTATATCGATAGTCTTTGATATAAACATTTATATAATTTAATTATTTCATTATATAATTACTTTTTTTATTTGTTTAGAATTTCAAGGCGTGTAAACCACATTTTTTCAGGATATAATATTCTTCCACTTCACGTTTCCATCGAAGTTCATACAATACCGATTTATTTAATCTAAATCAACTACTTTAAAAATAGCCGATACGAAAGAAATACAAACATGTACTATTTCAATTTACACATTTCCAAATGTATTTGTGAATAGTATGTCGATTGGTGGGTAGCGATGAACTTGTCATCTTGTAATGCATAAAAATGGAAGCTGGTGCGCTTGATAATTATAAAGATCAAATAAGTAGCATACAATTTCCTTTATGAAAAGTGGTAAAAATATTAAAACTTTATAGATGAACATAAATCTAAACAATACTAATAATGGTTTATTATGTTCAGAGAACAATTATTTTAATTTAAATGTGGAATTACAGGTAAAGTTTTTGATTCTCGAAACGATATTTTGCAAATTATTTCCGGAATGATCCATTTTACGAAACCAAATGAATAGCTTTGTAAAACGTTTCATTCTTGTACCTACTGTAAACGAAACCCTTATCATAACGATAACAAATAATGATAATTTAAATGGGCATATTTATTTGTAGAAGATCGTCGTTATATTGTTACAAATAAGAACATTAGTCCAAATGTACGCATGTACTTTTTGTTTAAAAAAAAGGTAAACAAGCAAGCGCCATTAACATTGATCAACAGATTTCCAACTTTTGTTGCGTAATGATAAGAGGTTGTGTAACGATAAGTTTTCTGTGAGGAAATTCAAATGATAATCCGTATATCGATATCTTTTCTGGTTATACGTAATTACATTTCTCGCGAAATTTTTTTCTCGCACCAATTAAATCGAAAGTCCAACTTGTACGTAGTGTATATTTAATAAATCTCTTACAGTATAATTATTTTGTCGATTATTATATCATTTATCGAGGGTGGAGTGTTTCTTGCATAACCACTAGAGCCGTCTAATAACCAAATTCTTTTAACATTGCAGATTTCTATTAACAAGCTAGTGAGAAGACAATGAAAACGACATATAAATATATAAAAATAAGAATAAGAATATTAAATAGTATTTATTATAATTTAATTAACAGTTATCGTTATACGTAACAAGTTTGGTTCCTTTTCTGCCTGCTCGGGAATAGTTTGTTATAAATAGCAATAACGATAATACAGACCAATTGGTGAGTTGCAATAAAATAAGTTCCTGATCAAAGATTATCAAGATATTGCACTTATACTCTGTTTTTGCAGGATCTAAATAATAATTGTAATACGTAATTGTAATAATTAAAGTAATATGTCTTGATGCAGATCTATATTTAATTAGGGTTAGTTACTAGTTTTAGATAGGATTTGCATCAATAATGTAACGATTTCTGCATGGGTCCTAAAGAATTTATCATATTTACTCGTCTATCAAAATTATACGTACTATAAAGGAACTTTCACTATAAGAACCACCAGTTCGTTATCAAGAGAGTTGACTGTATATATCAGGTAACATACTAAGCCGTCATTAAGTGCCAGTACATTACGTACATACTAATATTAGTGGTAGTGCAACTCGGATTAAGATTATATTAGGTTAGAGAGGTTTATATACAAAATTACTTTTAATTAATGCTCCGAGATCATAGGAAGAAGCTCGTATGATTGGCTAATTTTTATGGATCTACCCGTGATAATTAATCAATTAAATTACTTAATTTCAAAAGATTCATCGTTTTTATACTAGAAAATTAAGAAATGCGAAGCTTATAAAATAGGTGTACCGAAAAATTAATTGCAATATAATTTTTATAAAATTATGATCAACTAAAATTGTTGTAACCCAATTAACAATGATTGCGAATAATTGCAATTTATACTTCCATTGTAATTTCGCGATAATATAAATTTTTTAGAAACTAAAAACAATAATTACATCCAAATACATGAATATATTACCATTAACTGTAACAATATATAAATGATTCACTAAATTTGTATAACCCGTTTCTTTTTTTTTGATTATCAGCTGTGACCTGAATGAACATAAATTACATTGTCTAAAAAGGGCATCTTGTTGATTATTCAGAAGAACATGAATTACATTATCCAAACAAAGGCATTTATGTAATATTTGTTCAGAACTTTGACATTTTTTTTAAAAAATAGAATATTACATCAATATATGGAAGGAAGTCAATAGAAAAGAGACAAATCATTTTTAGTGAAATTTTTTTTAATTTTTAAATTTAAATAACTCAACAACTATTTAATTAAATCTGCTAAAAATTTTTTTATTTTAATCTTAAAATTATATAGAATTAAAATAAAAAAAATTTATCAAATTTAATAAAATAGTTGTTAACTGTTAAGATATTTAAGCTTAAAGTCAAGAAAACTTTTACTTAGAAAAAATTCATCCTTTTTCTATTGACTTCTCCTATATGTATCTTTGTAAAAGAATGTAAATTAATATTGTAAATTGCTTAATTTGTAAATTTTATAAATTATATAGATATTTTTTTAATATCAAAATAAAAACTTTATTAGGTAATAAGAAAAATTACATTAAAGATTTTTAAATTACATTTGTGCTACTTATTTTAAGACATCTAATGTAACATTACATTTTCATTTTATATAATACTTTTATTAATTATTTTAAATTAATTTTAAGTATAAAAAAGTTAAAAAACTCTTTCTGTAGATTACTTATACTAAAACTACAAAAAAACATTTAATTATTTCTTAACTTTTTACTAAATAAACCTTACTTGGCCTTTTAAATAAAGTTATTCAGCATATTTTTCTCCTTCTAAGTAGCTGTGTTTTAAATTTCAAAAACATCCAGCTGTTGAAAAAAGTTTGAAAAACTAAAATTTTGGGTTTTGTTTATTTATACAAAGTTTTATTAATTTAACCTATCTTCTTACCTATTTAAAGTTTTTCAGCTCATTAAAATGAACATTTTGATATATAATTTATTCAAAACAGACCAAAACTCATAGAAATACAAACAAAAAATAAAAAAAAACTTGTTTTTTACAGGTTTTTTTATTAGTATTTTAGGAAAATTTATAGGATTATTTCAGAAATTTCATTTTTCTGATATCTATTAGAATTTTCTAAATATTCAATTAGCTTATCTAAAGTTTATACACTTTTCAAACTTTCTTAACTAGTCTAAAAACCCTCAAATCAAATAAATTTTTTTTATAAAACATACTTAAAAACCTATTTTTAGAACAAAATATTAACCTTGACAATAACTGCACCTAATATTATTGATCTTAATTATTTTTACTAAAAGTGTCTTAAAAGTTTTGGTATTGATATCCTTTAAGATGCAACAAACACATTATGTCTAATTTCTGCAAATAAGCAACCAAACAACTGTTCAACTACAGAACTTAGAAAAGAAACTAAAAGTTGTTATTACTTTAAAGTACCTGAATCTTGTTCTATTATTACATGCTTTTATGACAAGTTTCATACTTACTTTATCTCAACTACTAACCAAATCTATAAACAACATAAAGTCATTAATATTAACAAAAAATCTAAAGATAAAAAATCTTTAATAAATAATATTACAAATTCTATTGAATTTATTTTACCATTCTTTACAGCATTTTCTTTATCTACTATATACAACTATCAATATATTAAATACAACTTGCCTATTGTTTGCAAAAAAATGAATAATTAATATTACTTAGCAGCAAATGCAATCTTATATAACAACAAACCTCATCATAAAATATATACAAATATTCAACAACCCTTTCAACAATTAAATTCTTTTTCTATATTTATCTAAAACTTCAACAAATAATTAGTTTCTATAACCTACTAGTATCCGAACATACTTTTACATCATCTGCAAGTCATATTAGCAATTCAAATGCTATAGACTTAAATAACAATATAATTAACATCAATAACCAACAATCACTACAGTTTAATAAACAATTACAATAACAACAATAATAATTAGATAAACAACAACAATCAGACAAACAATAACAACAACCAGATAAACAATAACAATAACAGCAAACACAACCTAATACTAACAACAACTAACAAAAAACCCAATATTTGACTGAATTGCCAACTTTCCTGTTATTAAAGAAATAAAAGATAAATCTTAATTTCAAACAGACTTTGTTAAGAAAATCTTTAATTTTCTTAAACAGTATCTATATGATTTTAGGCCTAGAACTAAAATTAAACTAAAAACTAATGACTGACCAGCCCTTAAAGCTAGATTCTATCATATAGTTTATAAAATAACAGAAGAAAAACCCTAATTTTTAGTTGAGTTTATTCAAAAATATAACCCAAATACTGACAAAGTTATAACTATTTCTTTTAACATACTTGATAAAATTCTTAAAAAACTAATTTTTATATTTACTACTATATTCTTTACAAACTCAAATATCTAAAATCTTTGCATCATTTGCAACTATTCCTTTTTATACAAGTCCAAATTAATTACAATTTTCTATTAATCTTGCTTACCTTTACCTCTATCTTTTAAACAACTATTAAGCTATTGACTATATTAAATTTGTTGAAAATATTTAAATTAAGTCTAAAAGATTTAGAATTTTATCAGAAGTAATAGACTTTGATAAAGAAAAACAATATCTTATAATTAGTTCAGAAAACAAATTCAATATATATCTTAAATTCAATATTTATAAAATACTCTTTTTACAAAAACTTAATATCTCATCTTTCAAAAACTTACTAATCACTTTAAACAATGGTTTAAACAATTCTTTCTATTATATAATTACTAATTCACTAAATCTATAGATAAAACTAAGGTTTTTAATGTACTTAAATACCAATTTTAATAAAAATTTATCCTTTACCTAAAAGAAATTATGTCTTCCAAACTAAATTTCACAAAACCTAATAACTTACAAGAATATCATAATGAAGCAATTAAATATACTAATTATTATATTCTTACTTGTACAGATGAAGGCTACACTATTTAGATAAAGCTGAATATACAAAAAAAGAAAAAGAAGTCAAAACCAACAACTTTGAAGAACAATCCCAATATTATAAACATTCTTCTCAACTTCTTAATAGCATCTTTTAAAAATTTTATATTGATTTTTTTAAACAAGAGAATGAAATTTGGCAATAACCCAAACTTAACTCTTCTTTATTTTATAAAAATAGCAAACATAAAGCA